GTAGCCGTCGTCGGTAGTAGCAGCAGCAGCAGTAGTAGCAGGACAGCAGCAGCAGCACCACCAGCAGCAGTCAAATATATATATATATAGATAGATAGATAGATAGATAGATAGATAGATAGATATGTGTATATATATATATATCTCTCTCTCTCTGACTTTCGTCAGGGTTGTGGTGTGTCTCTCTCTCTCTCTCTCTGACTTTCGTCAGGGTTGTGGTGTGTCTCTCTCTCTCTCTCTCTTCCTGCTCTCTCTTTTGTATCTTCTGCTCGAAATTGCGGATCGCGTCGCAGTTGCAAGGAGCGCGTCTCGCCCTCGGCCTGGCCAGGCGCTCGGGGACAGGGCCCAGGCCCCATTGAGCACCTGGTGGGGCGCGCGCGCACGCGCGTGCGCGCCGCTGGCCGGTGTCCCAAGGCGGAAGCTGCAGCGATCTCCGCCCGAACGCTCTCCGTCCTCGCCGCCTGCGCTGCTCAGGCTGTGCTGCGCGGCTGCACGGAAAGCTCCCAAGCCTGGCTGGTCCTGGCCAGCAGCCTCGTCTCCAGCATCAGCAGCGTCGCCAGACTCCCAAAATCGAAGCGCCGCCAGCGCATCCAGGACGCCTCCGCTCTCCGTCTGCCTAATCTCTTTCGTCTCCGAGCTTTGCGAGCTCGGAAACTGGCAGCCGAAAAGTTTGCAAGGTCAAAGTCGACACGCGTCGGCAACCTCGGCTACGTGCGCAGCAATTGCACAGAGGCATTGCGGTACTTGCCGACTTGCTGGCCCTGCAGAGGACAAAGCCATTCATGGTAGGCGCGAAGGGCTGCGAGCTTCCGTGCCTTTAAAGGGCTTCGTCCGACGACGCTGCGCTTGGCTCCGCTCCGCTTGGCTCCCACCTCAAAAGCCCCTTGCGTCTCGCTGTGGTGGTTCTCAGCGCCGTCCTTGGCTCTGCTCGGAGCGGAGGCCGAGGCCCGAGAGGCCCGAGAGGAGAGGAGCAGCGGAATTCCCGAGACAGGGCAGCGGCTTTGAAGTCGTCATTGGCGACTGGGCGAGACAGAAAGACATGCACAGGGCCGTGTCCGCGGCCTCCGCAGCCCCGAGTCCGAGTCCCTCGTGGTCGTCCCAGATGCCTACAGCAGAGAGGGAGAGGATGGGAGAGGGACCGCACACTCCGCTCTTCCAAAGCGGCGCAAAGCGCGGCTGTGCCAAGCGGCTGATCATCGGGGCGCTGGCCGACAAACGCTGCAACTCGGGATCGAGGCCTGGGAACTCAAGAGCAATTGATATGGCCCTCTTCCCCCCCTTCCCCCCGGGCCCCGCGGCGGTAGTGCGCGTGGCGCTGCCGGTACTGCTGCCTGAGCCGCGGCTGCAAAGGCCAGCTGGAGACGGCAGAGCCTTTTAAAACACCCTCGCATGCCACCCTCTCCCTTCGGTCCCTCCGGCCGAGCGTCAAGTTCACCAGCTCTTCCCTCGGCTGCAGTCCTGACCAGAGTCCCCGCTTTGGCTCCCTCCCTCGCTGCCGCAGTGCCTGGGACGACCGTCTCCGAGGGCTCGGGGTAGCGGGTGTCTCCGTACCTCAGCTGAGCGCCGCTTCGTAGGAAGTGAGTCATATGGAGGTAGAACTGCCAAGCGAACCCCGACATAGACGCGAAGGAGTGAAGGGAAGACGCCCAAGTTTCTCCTTTTCTGGGTATCACATAAACTCCAAGACTGCAGGGAGATCGCGGGCCCGGGACCGGGACCTTCCTGCTGGGGAGCAAACGTCGGTTTTGGAAACCGCCTCCTCCTCCTCCTCGGGCAGGTGCGGGCACAAAGAGCAGAACCGCCTGCGCCAGGCAGGCGCAGGCGGGCCGCGCCCGCCTCCTTCGCGCACGGACTGCGCAGCATCTCTCCGAGTTGCGGTGAGAAGGTCCTGGCCTACTCTGCGTGAGCTTCTTGAGGAAATTCAACAAAATCGAATTGAAAGCCAATCGGATCCGGTCAAATCGCATCTGCCCTACAAGCACGACTTTCAAGCGCCGAACATTTAAAGGATCTTTCGCCAGTGTGAAACTCGAGGAGGCGGAAGGGCGGCGGAGGCGTGCGCACGGGGGGCGCGTAGGCTTGGGCTATCTGCGGCGTAGCTGCTCGTAGATGTAGTCTCCCAGGTGCAGCCTTGGGCTTGGGACATCTTGGGACTGGGCTGCTCATGGTAGAAGCGGTCTTAGTCTTGCGCCAGGAAGCCAGAAGTCTAAGGGTGCCGAGAGCTCTCTGCTGCGCTCCACTGCAGCGGCATAGGCGCGGAAGTTGCCGAAGCCCCTTAAAACAGCGGCAAAAAAGACACAGCGGGTCATGGCCCGGGCCCCCCCCTCCGGGCCCGGCCTGTTGGCGCAGGAGAAGACGGCCTCCAAGTGGGGTGGGGCCCCATTAGGAATGGCCCCAAGCATACTCTATGCATACTCTTCTGCCCTCGCCAAGGGACGTAGCTCAGCGTTGCCATCGGCTCCGTGGCAGGCAGCGGCAGCCGGAACTCGCCCTCTCGGACCAATGCAGGAGATGCAGGTCATGCACGGAGATGCACGGAGGTGCACGGAGGTGCAAGCCAAGCCTGTGGTGACTTGGCTTGCCCACACTCGAAACGATATGCGTAACGGGTTCCTGCTCCCATCAGCACAGGGGAGCACAGCCGCTGAGCTTAAAGGGATGTCCTGGCTGCAGCCCGGATACGTCCACCTGGCCACCAAGCAAGGCCGCCTTTCAGACCAGGCGCATTCGGCGCAGGCCGGAGCGCCTTCACGGTGAAGTCAAACTCCTCAGCTGCAGCTGCCTGAAACGGGCCGAAACGTGCGTGCGCTCTGCATGGGGTGCCCTGGGCCTCTCCCGTGCGCTCCCTGCGCTCGGGGCCCTCGAGGACCCAGAGGAGCCAACGCACGTTGTGGGACGCCTCAGACGCAGCCCGCGCGGCGCTGCCCCCCAAATTCCCCCGTGCCCGGCCCGTCCCCGCCTTTTCAGAGCTCGGCCGGGGCGTGAAGCGGGTCCAGAGAACGATGGCCTCAGCACAACGAAACCAAGCCGTGTCGTGAGCCAGCTCAGGCCGCTGGCATCTGCCAGCGGGTCTCCACTCGCGACGCCGTGAAGGAAGTGGCCAACTGCGCCAGCCATGGCCGCACCGACGGAAGGAGCTTGGCATGGCTAACCTTCCGCGCCTCCCTCACGCGACATCGATTTCCTGTCCTGCAAGACACTTGAGATGAGTGCTCCTGCCGGTGCTTCGCAGTGCAACAGTTTCTGCACTAGTCACAGTCAAGCTGGCATTCAAGTAAAGAAAGCACCCGGAAGGTTTCATCTCGATTTGAAGCATCAAATTCGTGTCCGATAGGTCTCATTTCTCTTGGGCCGGGGCCGTCTCACAGGAAGTTTATAGCGCTCGACTGCACGACACATTCCGCTAAAGAAAGAACGCTCCCGCTGCTCCCTTTTCTGCTTCAGCTGAAGCACGCGCGCTCGCGGGCGCGCGCCGTCTCCGATCTAAATCTATGTACACGAGGGGACCGTGCTGAATTGTGGCAGTCCATAGCGCCATAGGGACTACTTGCAGTGCGGTTTTTTCAACACGACACCTCACTGTCGGCGCTGATCGGAAGCTCAGTGCCGGCCCGAGGCCATGGTGGCCTCAGCGAAGCCAAGGCGAGACTCGGAGAGGCAAAGAAGAAAAGCTCGGCTTCCACGCCTGTAAGCCCTCGCGGGAGATCCAGAGCGTGTAACGACTGGAGAGAGACACAACGCGGCGGACGCTCTCTCTTTCGGAGTTTTCGCCTGGGGAGGTCCATGCCCGGCAGACCGCCGTCCGGCAAGAAGCAGTCCGAGTCCGTGCACGCCATCGGGGCCTGCAGCGCGCGAGAGGCACACGACCGCAAAGCGGTCGCGGAACGCCGGGCTTCGCTACGCTTCGATCCACGCTCTCGACGCGCGCATTCTGCTGTGCATTCTGCCGCATTCTGCCTGACAGGCGCCACCGGACCAAATACCTCGGCATCATCGGCCAAACACGACAATGAGAACGCACTCTCTCGCACTCGCTGGGGCACAGTAGCTGCCTGGCCGCATACGTACCTTCGAAACAAAGGAACTCGAAATCTCCTAACTCTGGTCAAAGCGGCCTCTTTGGAGTAAAAGCCCGGTGAAACACCCGGCCCGACGCAGTCCTTTCACAAGCAACAAGAGGTTTTGTTCGCTTTTGGCGACGCTGTTGGCCTTGTGAGTCTTGAAGCTTGGGCACGGTTGGCGTCGACAAAACCTCGAGCCATGCAAATGTATCTTTCCTGCACCTAAGTGCAAGATGCAAAGGCTCCCGCACGAAGCCCGTGCGATCGGCCTGCCGCAGCGATCAGCAAACACAAAGTATTGCTCCTTGGACGGTTTCTGCAACTGTGCTGCACTATACGGAAAGCCACTCTGGTAGCAAGTCACTGACTGGACCATCAAACCCAGAAAGGCGACTGGCCCCTGGACCGGGTCAAGCTTTGACCCTGGGAAGCAACATGCGCGATGAGCTGCGAGAGCAAGCGCGCCCGAAAGCATCCCCACTGCTGGCTGGGCGCCCCCCCCCTCCTCCCTGCCTCATGTGTGGGTCGTGTCTGGCCTAGACAGCGAGGAGCAAACTGCCCTCTTCCCTGGGCTTCTGCGCTGGGCTTCTGCGGGCTCCGGGCTGTTGCGAAAGCACCTCTTCCTGGACTCACTCCACTCGAAGCTCCCGCCTGACAGAATAGGACGCGCTTCTCTGAGTCCCGTATCTGTTACAAGGAGGTCGAGGGGCTTCTATGACCGCAAGTCATGCCCTGGCACATGGCAAAGGCAAACCAAAGTTGAACCAGAATCCGAGAGAAGATGCTTTTCACGCTCAGCATCCTGGAGGAGAGACGAGGCTGAGGCGAGGGCATCCAGGCTGCGTCAAACACCTCCAGGCACAGTCCTGACAGGGCCCGGGTGCAGAGTCTTCGAGTCTTCGAAGCCAAGCTTCGCGAAGAGAGCGGGAGCGGCCTCGACCGACTCGGCCGAGTGCCGCCAGCCACCTGTAACGCCCGAAGGACCGCCAGGACGGCGTTCAGGCGCCCCTTCAGTGCTCTTCTCAGTTTCCGGGCCGGAGAACTGGTCGCCGCCTGAAAGCCGCAAAGAGACGAGACGAGACGGGCAGAGAGGGTTTGTGTCCGGGTTTCTTGGGGTCCCCCGCCGTAGACGTCGCCCAGCACCCGCTCCCAGCCCTCGGCCGATCCCCGAAGCGGCTCGCGTCTGCTCACGTTTGCGCTGCTCGCGTCGACTCTTCAGCGACTCTCTGCCGGACTCTGCGCAGGGCGGTTCCGTTCCCTTAGTGGCCTTAGTGGCCTTAGCCTTCGCTTCGCTAGGAGGGTCGCTGCTTCAAAGTGGGAAGCGAAGCCACTGAATCGTAGACACTCATGCCAGGAGCTCTCCCTGGCACTCGAGAACACAGCTTAGACTGCTGCCGCTTTCTTGCTTCTTGGGCCCATTGCCCACTCTGAGTCTGCCGGCTTCTGGGCACACCTTCTTCTCCTCTTCTTCCTGCGAATTGAGATAAAGTGAGATGTACTCACGTACTCCAGAGCCTCTCGTTTGTGGTACTGCATTTTGGTTTCACCAGAATGCTACTGCAGCATACTTTTCAAAACAGAATATCACACTACTAGCAACCTGAACGCCTGAACCCAACCGAGGCCCAAGAATTTCCCAGCACAGGTCCTCCAAGTCTGGAAGCAAGAAATCCAGCATTTGAGCCACTGCGCCCTTGCCGCCTTTGGGCTCTTTCTCGCTGCTTTCGCTCCAGTTGCCAAGGTCCTTGTGAAAGATACAACAATGATGCAACAAAAGCGTGGCAGCACACATCAGTCCTGGGTAAGATTCATCAGGTTGAGACCTCAACATCGTCCACAAATTCCAAGCCACACTCCAAATCGGGTCTGGGGCGATGGCTCAAAGCATCCAGCGTGCTACTCAGTGCCCCCACGGCATGCTTTCCGAGGGCATCGAGCCTGCTCTGCGCAACCTTTCCCTGCTCAGCCTCGTTTTACCCCTGCCCGGAGCCCATCTCAGGCCGCTGCGCCGACAAGGGGCCTCGGATGCGCCCAGCAAAGCCCCAACAGAAACGCTGGCACAGGCTGGCCAAGCTCGGGCCGGAGCCCCTGCCCGAGAACTCAGCTGCCTGGCAGATCGCGAAAGAAGCCAAACGTCTTTGAAATTTTCGCCCGATGGCACCTCGTCAAGCTCTTCCAAAAGCAGGATCGCCTCAAAACAACAACAAAATCTGCAACATGCAACAGCGAAATGATTCTGTGAAGCCCCAACAGTGGCCTTGCAAGGACCAACCCTTTCAACACCGCTCAACGCATAAAAATGTCAACGGTTTCATGACAACTTTGTGTGAAAACGTCTCTCTGCGATCAACGCCGCAACAGAATCCATTGGTAAGATCAAGGCTTAAGTTCACTGCTTTCAAAACACGGACATGTTGGCAGCTCACTCCGAGCCCGTGTCTACGCGCCATTATAACGCGATCTGGTAGCACTGCACCGGCATCCCCCCAACGCCCCCGACAATGGTCAGAAAAGGGGTTGGGCCAGGAAGGGGAAAATTTTCTGAGGGCACCAATAATCGTCGATGCATATCATGCCTGTTTATGTTTGCTGCACCAAGCTGCTTGACAGCAAGAGCGTGCAAGAGCTTAAACATGTCAACGGTTGCATGACAACTTCGCGTGAAAACGTTTCTCCGCGACCAGCACCTCAACAGAATCGCATCGGCAAAATCAAGGCATAAGTTGGCTGCTTTCAGAACACGGGCACGTGGGGATCAGGAATGTGACCCACCCCAACTCCGAGCCACATTGTTGCATGCCAACGGTGCTGTGCTCATTGTCATGTCAACTCAGACACGCGAGCTCGTGACAAGATACTGGCGGCTAGACACTGCGGCCACACATTCCGCATGACCTTGTGCTGCCCGCGCAGGCTACACACCGACTTAATTGGGGGGAGTGTAACCCCACCAGGCGATCATCATGGGACAGGCAAACGGGGGACTAAAATGGCTGGGCAACATAGTCTCTGGGATGTTGACAGCCCGATGCACAGGTGCACCAGCAGATTTAATGTCTGACTTCGTTAGGGCTGTTGATCGTTTGCACTGACGAAACCTAAAATGCTGCGCACAGTTCTGTCGCAATCTTCAGTCCAGTCTATGACTTGCGCGGCCTCATGCAACCCAGAAGACCGCAACCCAGAAACCCTAAACTCCTAAACCCTGAAGCCCGCAATCCGAGCAACCCTAAACCCACAAACCCAGAAGGAAACCCCAAACCCTAAACTCGGAAGCCCGCAACCGCCGAAACCTTAAACCCACAGACCCGGATGCCCGCAACGCAACCCCGAAACCCTAAACCCACAAACCCAGAAACCCGCAAACCGGAAACCCTAAACCCCTAAACCCAGAAGCCCGCAACCCCAAAACCCGCCCTGACTGCACGAGCCGGGGTCTGGCAGCAGGGCACATTCCGTGCACCGTCCTATCCAACCCACCACCATCCCCAGACGGTAGGTACTAGTACCAGCTAGGGTAGCGAGCTAGGCGAGAGAACCAACAACTCGCCAAAGCTCGCTTCTTTGATGGAGGTGGCACAAATCCCAGTTAGCCTGGAGATTGTCGCTAGCCTCAGGAGCTGTCACTTGTGCTGAGGTGTGAAAAAAGTCGCCGTGATTGCAAGCTTTGCAAGTCCGGTTGGACTTACTACCTTTTACAATTGGGGGCTGTTCTGGGAAACGGCTACCCTGGAGGGCCTGCCGAAGTCGGCGATTTTATCCCGAACTCGGAGGAGCTCCAAGCGGTGGAGCCGGTGCGTACCCCCACTGTTGGGTCACGTGTCGGTGGGGCGGTCAGTGCGGAGTTTCGAGAGCGGTCCGGTGCGTAGACGGGATCACGGCCCAAACCCGTAGCAGCGCGCACCTCCACGCGCCACGGGCGGCATTATTAGCGACATCCAGACCAGATCGCCACCATAGTAGCCGTAGTGGCCCCGCCGGTATATTTTAGCCTAGGTCCGGGAGAGTGCCCACCCCACGTTAGCAAGTGACGAGTCGGGGAGCGTAGCGCTAGCCCGGAGGCGTGGAGGGGGACCTGGCCGAAGAGCCGACTTCACCTGATAGATCCAATGGGTGTAAATTTACACTTTACACCCCCCTAAGAATTTACACCCTTTTGGGCTGCAAAATTGGGGTGTAAATTTACACACCCGAAGGGGAAATTCGGGGTGTAAATTTACACCCCCGGGTGTAAATTTATATATATAGGGCAAGCCGAAAGTGTATACACTTTTGGGTCGGCCCACCCAAAAGTGTACAATATACGCTTTTGGTCTGCCTTATTCCCTGCCCCACACAACCCCATCCCACCACCCCACACAATCCCTACCCCCCTCTCCTCTCTCTACCCTCTCCCATTCCTGTTCCATCCTCTCCCTTCCCCTTCCCTTTGTGAAAAAGGCCATCCGGCCGATCTGTGATCCCACAGAAACACCCTTGTGTGTGACACAAAATGGGCCATCCAGCCCTGAAATGTATACAATGTGATGTGTATATGTACATATATCCGGGGCCCTCCAGCCCTTTCATCTGCAAAACCTCACACACAAAACACATGCACACACACACACACACAAAGTCTCTTTTTTCCAACGGCTCTGGGATCTGTCTTCGCTTTCTCTGCGTGCTACTCCAGACGCAAACCCACAATGGGCCATCCAGCCCTGAATTCTGTACAATTGAATTACACACAGCGGCCAAAATCAAGTGTCTTCGCTTCCTGATCCATTCTCCACAGTTCCTGATCCATGCTCCAGATGCATATCCACAATGGGCCACACAGCCCTGAAATATGTACATCGTGCAGCTCAGAAGCGAAAGGAAATCGAGGCACATTGTGCCTCGCCTTTCGCTTCTGAGCTGCACCATGTCGGATGCAGACAGAAGCGATGTGCCCTCCGCAACAGCAAGAGCGACTCTTGCTGCTGCGGATTGCACATCGCTTCTGAGCTACATCGAGCAGCGACGTCAGGTTCATGGCACCATGAACCTGACGTCGCTGGTCGATGTTGTCTGCATCCGGTCCGTTCCTGCATATGCACCAGCCGACATCGACGAACCCTCGAGCAACCTCTGGCCAACACAAAGCTTGCTCCAGGGTTCGTCGTGCTCGGAGATGCAGGTCATCTGCACATGTGGGCAAGGCGAAAGCGACAGAAGCGTGTCTTCAAGCTTCTGCCGCTTTCGCCCTGCACCATGCGCAGATGACCTGCATCCGTTCCTGCTCCTGCTGTGCGATTCCTGTTCCTGCTCCTGCTCCTCGGGCTGCGCCTTCTCACACCTTGATCCATTCCAAATGCATAGCCAAGCGGTTCTTCATGTTCAGCTTGAAAGATGTTTCTTCGCGGCTCACTCCTTTCACACAAGAAGCCATCATCTTGCCCAGCTTCCCCATGTAATCCTCCGCCCTCCAACAACTTGTCAATGCTGGGTGTATCTCCCCACTCCTCTCCACTATATGTTGTGTAGCATGCACCTTCGACGTCATGTTGAACACTCGAATGTCCTGTTCCTTGTAATAATCCGACAAATGAACATACAGTGCACCGAAATTCCGGAAATTCTGCACCAGACGTCCTGCTGCATCCGCCGGCAATGCAAAATGTGGGTACTCGCTCAGGATGTCCTCGAATTCCTTGTCCAGTCTCAGCAGCACTGCTACTTTCCTGTACTCTTCCGTGTCCGGGACGACATCGTTCCACATGTCCACGAATGTAGAACACAACCCTTTGATCTCCCCCGCCTTGCCCTTCAGCTTCGGGAAGTCCTTCTGCTTCTGGAACATGGACAGCTTGCACAGCCGCTGCTGGTACCTGTTTTTAATTTTGTTCTGCTTCTGATGCTGTTTTATGTACCTCCACAATGCCTTCAGGTTGTCCAATGGATCCTGGTCCATTACATGGCGACATAGCAGCTCCATGACTGATCCGAATAAATGCTGGGAATACCCCAAGTACTTCGTATGCATCAGATCGTAGTGCACGTGACATGCCGTCAATCCATTCCTGAATAGCTTGCATTTTGTTCGCTTGTTCCATCCCAGCCATGATTCCGGATTCCACTGTGTATCCCTCCAAGGAGCAGACTCTGAAAAGTCGTGCCAGGTTGTAGGTCCCCTTCTGGTGCACCTGCAGGGCTGTGTATACAGTGTACCACACACATACACACACACACACACACTACACACACACTACAAGCTTTCGTCACTCCGGCCTGCGCAATGCACAAGGTTCGCTGCAATTATGATTGGGCAAGCCCATGAATAACCTGTAAAAATCCATGTCCCCGGACCATGCACAAACCACTGCCCTCCAGCCATTGGCCAGTTCCTGTCCGGCTTTGTCCCGTTCCTTGCTGCCTGCAGGGAATTCGATCCCCCTCCAGTCCTTTTGCGGATACGTTCCAAGCCATAGATGATGCAATGACCACTGCAGCAGGTCAAAAAAGTCCAGGGCGGTCTCCTTGTTCCAGGTCCTGTTCCAACAGGCCCAGACATAGTTCTGGTTCACCTTGTGGTGTTTTGTGTGGCATATAACACAGAAAACACACAAAACAAATTTGTGCAGTTTTGTATATAGTGTACACATATATATATATATATATGTGAGAGAGAGAGAGAGACCCCTTTAGGGTCTGTTTGACGCTAGGACTTTTCTAATTTATAGAAAAATATTTAAAATAATTAAAATAATTCAAATAATTAAAATAACTATTTTTAAGTTAATTAAATTATTAAAAACAAGGATCCAGCCTTATTTAAATTATTGAACTAATTGAAATAATTGAAATAATTAAATCAAGCCCAATTAATTATTTCAATTATTTCAATTATATCGAGTGGCCCAATAATTGAAATAATTGAATCAAGCTCAATTAATTATTTCAATTATTTCAATTATTTAAATAACTGGAAATAATTGAAATAATTAAAATATTTATTATTAGTTTAATTAAATTATTAAAGCCAAGGATCCAGCCTTATTTAAATGATTGAAATAATTGAAATAATTGAAATAATTAAATCAAGCCCAATTAATTATTTCAATTATTTCAATTATTTCAATTATTTCAATTATTTAGATAGGTGGTAAATCTCTTTATATATTCTAATAAAACCTAGCAATTAATTATTTCAACTATTTCAATT